CAGTCCTGTAACACCAGTAGTGATGGAGACCTGTGACATTCTTGGTGTTACTTTGGAAAACACATCACACCTGGCTAAACGTCTTTGGTCCATTTTATGTATTTTATGTTCACCAAGTATGTGAAAATACTAGAATCGCATAATTTCTTGACCAATCTAATGCAGTCTCTGCTAAGTGGCTTTCCTAGAAGATTAGAAGCAACCACCTTTATTAGTAACTTCTGAGAGCCAGCCTTTGCCTCTCTTTGCTTGGTAAGGCCCATGGCAGGAACTTCCACCCAGCAACCAGACCAGATGGATCTCACAGGGTGCTACTGGAAGGTGGCAGTCAGTATGGTGATACCCCAACAACTCAGGTGATTCTCCTGTAAAGATTAGTTAAAAGGCACCTGTGTAATTCAGTCTGGATTACAAATTAATGGAAGAGATGGAGTACACCGATTTCAATGCATCACCAGCTTAGCTGTGATTCTGATTGCACGAGCAAGCAAAGACTCAATGCAATGAAGTTCTCCATGTTTACAGGAAAAAAGATAAGCCCATCAAGTAGTCAAGTTCCCTTTCCTCTCCTCATTTGGCAGTAACTGTTGTGGTCCTAATGCTCCGCTTCACTTTGACAAATCCTAACCTTTTCTTAATTAAGATCACACCCATATGGACTTAATTTTTTTTTTGTTTTATAAAGCTTCCAGGTTGTATTTTTATGGAACCAAAATATTTTACTTTTACAAAGCTATACAGTTGTCAGCTATCTTATAAGGGGAACAATTAATTAAGCAGTGGTAAAAGAGGAAATACCTTTCCATAGAAGAAGAAATACTTTTCACACCCAGTATCTACCCAATGCTCTAATTTTCCCCAGAGGAAGTCACATCAGGCAAATAACACAGTTCTGGACACAGTGCACCTTGGAGGGAATTATTAAAGTTTCACTGCTTCAGAGCACGCATTTCAGCACGATTTGTTAAACCTGGATTAATGCTGATTTGCATCTGCTCCACCCTGTCCTGGATATGCAGCTGTCCTACATTGCATACCATGCATTAGCATTTAAATACCATCTTTCCAACCCCACATCTTCAGGTGTGTCATTTCCCACCTGTCAGGTGTCTAAAATAACAGTCCTAAGTTTAGTGGCAATATATTTCCAGGTTTAGTATACACCAAGAAAAAAACCCAGGAAGATTCACATGTATATTGTGACTATATTTATTAATCCAAATGACATCTTAATTCAATGTCTGTAAATGCTGTATTGTGGAGATGTCTGCAGTGCAAGCATATTGCTTTACAGTGGAAAAGATTATTGGTGCATTTTATATTTGCTGCACAAATTGAACAAATGTGTAATTCAGAAAACTAAAATATCAGTAATCCTGCTATATGGGTGTTGAGAAAAATAACTTTACAGAAGCCCTTGCTTAGAGTAGAGCAAGGGTGACTGAACAGGAGACTCCATCTAATATTACAACCCAGTTCCAGCAATATATTTCTAGCTAGTATTCAAAGTCAAGCGTGAAGGTGTACAATCACCAACCACAGAAGAGTTTAAGTTGTGGTCATTTGCAATGCAGCACTGTACTTTAGCTTTACTATCGATTCCAGTTGTCCTGCACCAAACTAGCATAACTTTTGGAATTCTGTTTCAAATCAGTATTGCTGTCTTGAAGAAAGATTATAGTTTCTTTAAAAAATAAAGTGTTTTAAAGTGTTTCCCAGTGTGTGAAGAACAAAAAGACGCAGCAGCTGTTCAGAAAAAAAATTTCATTTATTGTAAAGTTCCTGAAACAGTAAACACCTTATCAGAAGTAGAATGAACTGGCACTATTTCTTTAAAAAGTTGAACTGTCTTCCAGGAACAGCACCTGGAATATTCCAGAGAGAGCTTAAACCATGGAATAACTTGGTGCAAGGCTCACCTTCCTCCCTGTCCCCTGCCAGCACCACCAGTGGAGAACATGCAGTTAACTTTTATTTGCATTTCCTACCTAACTGCTCTCAAGATTCACCTGGTAGATCGCAAGCTAGAATTCACCCTTTTGTATTTAGGGACCCTCAAATGAACGGTGTAAGAAATGAGACAAATCACATTGCAAATTCAGCTTTGGACAAAACAAAAAAAAGGATTATTTTATAGAACTTTTAGTTTAATGTCTATAAAATCTATATCCTCTTGCTTAGAGGTGAACATAGCAACAAGACAAGAGGAGACAAGGTTTTGCTTTCAAGATGTTTGCTGTTTATTCCAACATCTGGAACAGAGGCATAGGCCTGGACCTACCTCACCCATAGCTACAGTTCACAGCTCTTGCATCAGAACCATAGAAGTAACAGTTCTCCAGCAATTTCTAGAAACATTCCCACTTCTGTTCCTTTCAGCTTCCTGCATTCAAGCAAACAGCAGCCATGCTCCCAGCAGTACAAAGGCAGCCAGCAGGTGCCCAGTCTGAAGTGGGGACCAAGATAGCGGTGCCCACAAGGCCCAAGGAGTTGATTCCTGCTTTGCGACCACCCTCCTTCCCCACAAACACTTTAAGGCATAAGCAGCTTTTTTTCAGATGAGCTGTGTGTGTACATGCAGTCCTCTGTATTTGTGGAGCTGCAGAAAACCAGCTCTTCTTCACAAGCTAGCGATTTGTTCCCAGTCTTAATGTGTTACTTCACTAGTAACTAAGCCTCTCAAAAACATTAACCTCTACAGCCCTTTTCTACATCGTAGGGTGAGAATACCTCATTTACAGCTTTACCCACACTTACAGTGGAACAGAAATAGCTTCAAGTGTGTGGGACTGGCTGATAGTCCTGCAGTTAAACTTTATAGAAAATTTTTCCTATTATAGGGCCAATCTAAGATGCCTTGTTTATAACTTATACTATTAAACTTTCACAACTTTATACAAATTCTTAATCATGTTAAAAAACACTGTACAAAACCACCTTAAGGCACAAAAAGTTAAACAGAAATGTAGCCCACTTGAAGTCTCAAAGCAGCCAATTCAAGAGAAACTGGCCTTGTAATAAGTACATAGTTCATTTAGACATGTTAAGCTTCATTGTCATACATTAAAAACAGTAAATATACGACAAAATGTATGCTGTTCAGCGTCTCCTCTTTTTCTTTAGTACCAACCCCCATCTGAGACATGATCTCTGGTTATGAGCAGGAATTGAAACAGCTTATAGGTCCCTCAAATGATTTGCTTTGAGCAATCATGAACTATTACACATCTAGGTATGCAGATATGGCAACATACATTTGTTTTGTAAGGGTGGGATGTGAACATGTTTCAACCTCAGTGCTTTGCTCAACTTTGTAAAAGCAAGGGATTATGGATATGAAAAAAGTCAAAATGGCAGTGATGGAAGGTCGGAGAAATTTTAATCTTGCAGAAATGTATTTTCTAAGTTTATGTTCCTCTCCCAAGCAAATTGTCTTGGGCAAATGACTGAACAGTAAACAAAAGATGTCCAGGAAGAGTACTGTCATGCTTAAAAACTCTGGAACAGATCAGCATTGTAGGTAGGGTCAGCAGACGTACACTAACACAGCTACCATCCACCTCCAGAAATGCCCAGCTAACACAACTACGCTGTTGTCTCAAAGATCTTTATTTAACTCCTGCTAGTGGCCAGCCAGAGCTACCAGTGAAAACCTTGCATGGCAGCTTCTCGGTAGCAGTCTGTAGGTTACTGTCTGCAAGAGAGGAAAACCAGCAAATGACTTGTTTCTCCAGATTATGATAGGCATCTCTGCATTACAATATAAACCACATCCAAACTCAATTATTCAAGTACTCTTGGGTGTTTTCTTATATGAAGGTCTTCAAGGAGTGGGAGGTTGCCCTACCTACATCAATATTCAATATGTAATTCCATAGGGGAAGAAGCCTGATAGAATTTAGGTGCAATTTTTCTGATGCAGCTTCAAGTGAAGGCAACATGGAAAAAGTCTGTAGCAACATGGAAAAAAGGAAAAACTAGCTTAAGAGTTTCTATTCATTGTTTTGTAGCACAAAAACTTTTGGCAGGGTTTATTATAAAGGAACAGCATAAGGAAACCAAATAAATAGTTGAATAGTTAACAGTATGCAATATAATAGCACTAAACTTCAATTACATACAAATTAAACTTTGGAACAGCATCAATATGAAAGGTCTCTTAGAAACCTAGGACTCAGTCTAAGATCCTCAGACCTGTACATTGCAAAAAGCAGTCAATTTTGATGCCCAGTTGGTCCCAGATTTGTCTTCTGAGGGACTGTGTCCATTGAGAACTACGACCCATCCGTACAGCTCCCTAATCCCACTCTACCCCATCACACACTGCTGTTTTTCCAAGTCTAAGGGAGAGTGATTGGGCAGCACAAGGTACAAGTTGTGCTTCTTTGTTCCAGAGGAAGCAGTATCTCCTTCCTCATCTGACAGCTATATTGAACAAGGTTATGCAATTTAGCCCAAGGATGCTTCTTTCTTCCTTAAAGCAGAGGTTAGAGGAATAGAAAGAAGGCAACAATGACCTCATGCTCCCAGTAAAACCCCAGCTGGGTTCTGGGGGTGGAATCAAGGGCTGCTTTACCATTAGTTGGACCAACTGTGTGATCTAACAGGGTGAAATCAGTGGAGAGGACTTAAATAGAGCTACATCAGACCCTCTGTCATTTTCTTTTTTCCACTCATCAACACTGTGCAGTCACACTGAGCTGGATTCCATTTAGCACGTCTCAGCCAACACAGGAAGGGAAGTGATCTGTTGGCTCTCAGGAGTGACGCTGAAGCAAATTCATCACCCTCAGGAACAGGGTTTTACTGTGCTCCCAAGTAAAGAAGTATCACCACTGTGATCTGGAATTGTTCACCAGTTCAGATTTCTTCACCTGTGGGACATGTGCAGCTCTTGCTAGAGAAGTGCAGAGCTCACTTTGTCTAATACACCAGGTGAGTCTGGGTCTTTGACTTGATGTCAACTTCAAGAAATATACACACAGTATAGCTTTGAAATCTGTACATCAAACCAGTTGATCAAATTCTCCTCATACAGTTTTTAGATCAGTAAATAGTTCCACTGGAGTCAAGAGTGCTAAAAGGTGTTTGAGGAAAACCCAGTATTATATATTTGCGTTAAATGCCAAAACATACCCTAAAACACTCCTCTTGACACTTGTCACTGAAACACTTCCAATGTCAACTTCTCCAGGACACTGGAACAATTAACAAGAACTCTGCTATCAAGAACAAAAAACCCAGAAATAAAAATTAAACAAAAAGAAACTTTTATCTTTGTTAAATTCCTGTCAGACACTTGAAATCTTGTTTGTCTGTTCCATGAAATTAAAAGCTTGGCACATTTTCCTTGGATGCCATTTATCAACAATTCCTTTTATCTAGGAACATTTATTGCATATCAGAAATTCACTCGGCTAGGATACTTTTGTTTAGTAGAAAACACTGCCTTCCAGTTATAGCTATGAAGCTCCATACAGTTCAGTAAATGAATTCACCTGGTATTTCTTGCAGCAGTGGTTCCTCGAATTTAAATCGTTTGGAAATGGCTTTCTGCTCAGTTACTTTTTCTTTTTCTGACTGCCTACATTGTCCCAGTGTATATGAAGCCACTACAATTAGTTCTTCTGTCACTATTGATTCTTCTTCTTCAGTCTTCTCAGCATCTACTGGTTTTTCAGAGGCAGAATCTGCACCTTTCTGGGTGACATCACTGGTCTCCCCTCCTGTACTCTTACTCCAGGCCCTGCAAGCAGGATTATCGCTTTGCTCTAGCCATGGATGTTGAAGACATTCTTCAGCGGTTGCCCGGTCCCTGCAGAGGAAGGAAGATGTTGAAATAAGTGTCCAAATGAATTTGAAATCTAGTACCTTGCAGAAGAGATCCATACAAATTATTCAAAGGATATGACTGTATTAAAGACAGACTGATAGAACTTCTAAAAAAAGAGTGCTGATAGCTACCTTTTACCAAAAAAGACCAACAGCAGCCCAAGGAGATGACTGCTAACATTTAAAATAAAGGAGTTCATAGATTCTTAAATATCACAGTTTACACTCCCATGTTTCCAACCAACTTTTGAAGTTTATACAGATGATATTTATTTTTTTATACATGTAGGAAAATTATCCAATCCTTACAATCTTAAAGTATTCCCATACACAAGCAGTAGGCAATTTCAGTAGTTGACATGCCCCATGAAGAACTGGTGAAGTTCCACGGAAAACACCTCTTCTATTTTGAGACCTGGAATTTCCAATTTGCCGCCCATTGAGAAAAGCATACCAATGGACCAGAAAAGAGTAAGGTACTCTACCAACTCATCAAGAATAAAAGGTTCAAAGCACAGTTAATTTAAGAAACATCAGAAAGGTACCTGTGAAGAAAGTCCATACACTGTACCACACGCTGCAATTCATATCCAGTTTTCTGAAGTGAATTTGAGTTTTAGTTACTAACAACTGGACACATTCAGAATACGCAAGTTTGGAGGGAAACAGAGAACTTTTCATGTGTATGAAAAAAGTAATAGCACAATGAAATATGAATAATCAAAAGTTCCCTTATACTTTAAAAATGAAAATGCCAGAACTTGCTACATTTAAAATCAATCTAGTGAGACATGAGCATATAGCGTTGGGTATTTTACTCACTCGGGTTTCTTAACCAGCAGAGTTTTGATGAAATCCACAGCAGACTCCGATATGAGGTCAAAGTCTTCTCCAGAGTAACTTACATTCATTTGAGAGATATTTAAAAATGTTTCTTGTTTATCGTCCCCTAAGAAAGGCGATATCCCTGTTAGCATAACATATGCCAGTACTCCAATGCTCCTAAATTAAAAGTAGGAAACAGAAAAGCAGTTTTTTAGGGTTTGGGTTTTTCTATTATTTTTAAAAAACCTTTTCTGTAAAGTAAGTTATGACGACCATTAATTTGTTCAACTTACCACATGTCAGTTGCTGTACTGATTGGGTCGTAACTCAGAATTTCAGGAGCTATTTAGGGAAGAAAAGGCAAAATAAGTTCTATTTTTGTCATATGCAAACATTATATTGTAGTTATATAGTGCAATAATGGGCATATGGTAAAATTTAATGTAAGTCATTTGAAGCATGACAGTCTTTTGAAATAGAGATATTTCTACTCAAGTTAAAAGCAATGAATGATAGTAATCACTTAAGTTTTATTGTCCTCTTCAGAAACCAGGCCAGTCTCCTTCCCAATTAAGGAAGCTGTATACAAATTTATTATGGAAAAAATGACAAATATCCAACATTCTGTACTCCAGCACTGAAACCCATACCCACAAAGATATACTATACAACTTAAAGATATTTTCAAGTACATTTTCAAGGCCTGGAATGATTTGCTTTTAAAAAATGAAATGGATACAAACCTCCACAAGCTAAAATATTATATTGAGAGACTGAATATGTAATTCTGAACTTTTAATGCAAGTAATACTTGTTATCACTGCTGATAAGATTCATCTAAAGCATGTACTCATCTTCGACACATTCCCTCATTAGACTGGCACGGCTTGCCATGGTTCTAGCTTTTACAGCAGTACCACATCCAAGCAATAAGCTGATCTTCAATATAGGAACTACACAGCCAGCCTGGCATTCACCAAACTGAGGCAGTTTCTCTTTTCACCCCCAAAAGCCTGGATAGTCCCCTCGTCAGGGCTACATCACTCATACAGTAACAACTTACCGACATATTCCGGAGTTCCCATAATTTCTCTTAGTTCCTCACTGCTCTTCATTATTCTGGAAAGGCCGAAATCTACTATCTTAATGTCTCCCAGAGGAGACTTATTGGTTAGTAGAATATTTTGGGGCTGAAAAAAAATACAAGAAGGAGACTTTCAGGATCACCCAAATCTAACATCTATGACACCTTGTTCTCTAATTATTTTAGATCAAGAGTAGCAATAATGCATTCTATAACAAGTACTATACCCAGGATCATTTATTTATGGGTTTCCCTGTCCCCCCCTCAGGTGAACTTGAAGAGACACATAGGCTGAAAGGAGTGGCAGGATTTTTTTTTTTTTTTTTGCTTAGAACACATACAAAAGACATGCCAGTAGCTATCATAACAATAGCATATAAATACCTCCACATTTGTACCTCTAGTCCTTCATATCACCTTTTTAACTTCCCTTTCCTCCTTGCTTCCTTCCAATAGATGGTGTAAAATACCTGCTGCTGAAGGGTGTCCAAAAACACCCGATCATTTCAAAAGACCCGAACACAAAACTATTTTGACTACACCTGGTTTAAAGAAAGTCTGTTGCAACTGACCTCAATCTTGTTCAAAGTACAAACAATTGTATTACAGAATACTAACTGAAGAACAGTTTAAAAAAAATACAGCAGCCTGCAAAACAGGTTTTTAAAAGCATCACCTTTGGATAAACTTGTTTGCTCTGACGTCACTAGATCTTGGCTGTCATCCTTCAAAGCACCTTGTGGTCATTAAGAAGTTCCTTACTGTCTACTTTGAATGCTAGTTCAGTTTAAAAAAAAAATCTGAAAAATAACTTTAGACAACAGGTCTTAGAGATTTTTTTTTTTTTGTAACTGAAGCATATCCTTGCCAAAAAAAAAGTGTGACTCTCCCTGCCCCCAGGCCAATGATCACATTGCATTCTAACAGTAACTTTTTCCGAATGGTAACACTGACAGTTGCCACTACATTCATGCCTCTGGTGACCACAAGTTCCATGAAAGTGAAGAAGCCTTTATTTATTGAGAACCTGGATCATCTTATATTAGAGGTGGTTGAGAAAGGAGGGCAAAGGAATAAACATCGAAGCAACCACTGACTGATAATCCAACTGTATTAAGACCAACATTTATACTTTTTCCCTAATTGCTGAGCCATTCTCTCCTCATCCCCTAGTCAATCATGAAGGCATGCTTTTGCATGAACAGCATCGCTTTTAAACACATAAATAGAACTCTGCAAGAGCCTTTTAAAAACCTTGGGCCAGTTCTCCTTGCTGCAAGACCTAAATACCATCAATTTCCTTCATTCCTACAAAGTTAAACCATGGTATTTCAAACTAACTCCATGACATTGCAGTCCATTTTCTGTTTGTAAATCTATGTTTTAAGAACAGCTTTTTTTTTTTATTACAAACTGGGATCTGGTGGCTGTACAAAGGCATTTGGAGCTGCGCATTACCATATGCTTTATAGTTCACATTTGTTATTCTGTATTTGTATTAGAAAAACAAACACCCAAAAATGCTGACCATGCCTCCCTAATTAGCCTCTCAGATGTTCTTCCCAGTGGGAAATTTAGTTACTTTCTGAAGAGGCAAATAGAAAGCATGAGAAAAGCATTTGTTCTCTATATTTAAACTAGGAAAAGTTTTTAATGGAAATGTTTCACAAAACCTTTAAGCCCTGTATTCGTAGATAATGGAGTTGCCAGAAGTCTTTATTGTCTTTTTAAAAAAACAGTCTTATTACTCAAAACACACCTACGCAGAAAAAACATGTCTAAAGTACAAATTGAATCATAAACCTAAATCAATTCATAATAAAATACCAGCCATTTTCTTCTTTTAAGGAATCGTTATGGGGTTCAAGTGAAGCAACAGTCTAAACACGAGCATGAAACCTTAAAGAAGCCATAGCTTTGAACTTCCCATAGTTTTCAGCTCCACACAATTACTCTAAAGCTTTAAGAAAAGGAAGATAATTTTCCCACATCTGTAAATCTCTTTCTCTTTTGTTTTTCCACTGCTATAATACAACTATGTTCGCCTAATGCTGATGAACTCACAAAGGCAAAAGATATGCAGGCCAAAGGCTCTCCTGGTCACCCTTCTAAAAAGGGTCTTTCATTCTTACAATCAAGCAGTAATGAAACAGCTAATGAAAACTGTCAACTGGTAATATTTAAAAACCTACCCCTCTACTGCAGAAAGGCTTAAGTGCTCCAGTTTAGAACCTCTTTATGTTGTGCACTGAACAAAGACATAAAAAGAAAAAATTCCTGCCTAAATGGACAATCTGAATGGATGTACTTTACTACAAGATTGGTATGTGCACAGAAACCACATGATGTGGCCACACGAGTCTAGCCCAATGTCACGTTATCATGGCCAGAAACAGGTACCTTTGGAAAGATTATAAAAAGAAAAGAGTGGTGTTTTTCCAGGCATACTATCAGCAATCAGAAACTTAGGCTTTTGGAATTTGAGATGTTGGTTATACCTGTATCATCATTTTAGAGTAAAAGCAGTGAAAAGCATCATTTATCAATGTAAATATTAACCAGTTTTACATTTTTCACTTAAACTGGACTAAACTACTATACATAAAGAAGAGCATAGCTTTCTTGACACTATCAACTTTAGTACAAAGGCCAAAGTAAGGCAATATGTACAAAGATCTAGTCTCATGAAGAAACTTATTCTGCAAATAACACAAATAGTTTGTAATAAGTGTACTTGGTGAAATGGGGTACCCTTCAACCCTACATTGCCAGCAGGTTTTGGAATCTTGTAAACTGACTATATAATTGCAAATCTGTATATTTACCATTGTTCCAGAAGTTTCTATGAACCTTTGGCCCTAATATTTCTTGTATCTTTAGTTGGTTTCAAGAAGAGTATGGCTAAGGATGCATAATAAAAGTGATGTTTTTAAACTAATCAATGCCTCACCTTAACCTGCAATATTAGGTTAGGTATCTGATTTAATGATAAGATAGAAAAGAAAAATCAGATTCCCTAGAAGACAAGACAGGAATTATCCAAGGAATAATGGGCAGAAACAGGAAAAACCCCAGCTGCATTATGTGTAAAGATACTAAAGCAGGCTAATCAGTCTGCCCCTTGCAAAGTTAAAGGACTCCCGTATCTTTAAGCAATTGAAATGTAAGAGCAGAATTTGCTTGGGGGTTGGATTGTTTTGGTCCATGTGTACAAGTGGAAAAAAATGCAACAGTCACTAAAAGAGTACACATGTTGGACTGGCATCACACCTTATTTGCCAAAATAGGCAATGCAAGTCTCAAATTAAGAAATAAGGCTATAATCCAAATAGGTTCTGTAGAACTTGAATACTCTGTACCTGCCTATTAATAAACAGCTTTGCTCTAATTGCTATAAAGGTTTGAACTTCAGATTAAACTGTTCTTTTGCCTTGAAAAATCAATATTTTAATTTTTAAATTTTTTCTTAGTTTCCTGGATGTTCCTTTAGACAAGGAATACTACACTTCTACTAATACTACACTTCTGCATAATAAACATTCCGCCTTAATCCACCTGGAAAACTCAGTTGAGAAAATTAATCTGTGATGGTCTTGCAACAGGCCACTTCTTTTGTAATTGCATTAGTTTGCTTTCTGAATATTGGTGTAAAATGACACCCAAAACAATTTCAGACAATGATTTTTCTAGCTGTCCTCACTGTCCACAACATCTTGAAAACAATAGAGAAGGAGGGAAAAGTTGTCCGTTGGATAGCAAGAGTAATATATACTGTAGGAGAGTGCTGCTTGGAGCAGTCATTGTGTAAGGCTCTTTACCTATCTCTACTGTGTGCAAGAGGCAGCTAGGCCTTCCTCAACGCCCACGCCTTTTTAAATTCTCTTCCATTCCCAAGTACCTTCAGCTTTTACCAAACACCAATTCAAGTCAAACAGCAAAAACACAGAGAAAGGAGTCTTCCCTTACTCTGCAGCTTTTATGCACCATTAAAAGGAGATGAAAGACTCCTGACTACAATCTGTGCACACCCTGCATATTAAATAGCATCAACACAATACTGTCGAGTGATACTTAATCTGCACTCAGTAGCATTATATTTGCTCTTTCTCCAAGACAAAACTGGATTACATGATTGGATTTTGCTATTAAAAACAAGCCATTTTCCAACCATCTTTCAGGAGGACCATGCTTTTGGAAAGAAATTATTAGGTGGCAACCCTGTTAAGCCACGTCGAAATACCCCATTTTGTCTGCAGTGTTTAGTCTCATAGGAAAAATCTTGCATCTATGAAGGGTCAGACAGAAGCTAAAGCAAGCTGTCAGTGTCCTAGATCTGGTTGATTAGGTTTATAATACAAAACTACAACAAACTGACAATCACACACTGACAACCGTTTTGACTTTAACTCTTATTGGCATAGAGTCTGACTTTTTTTGAAGGTGCAACATAGGAAAATTGGATGGACCTTTCCAAAGGTATGTGTACCAGACAAATAAAAGGGAAACCTTTAGAGACACAAATGCAAAACTAATAGCACACAGAAAACATTTTAGCAAGTATTTGTAAACTTTTTGATATTGGCAAACACCTTGCTTACCAGCAGTACACTTTGCACAAGTTTTCCAAATGTCATCCACAAAACTAAGTATTTAGTAAATTCCATAGTTCTGTAAGCACTAGGTGAAGCAGCATGAGCCATACTATACACCAGAAGATGGTTTGAAGCCAGTAGGTTAATAAACATGCAGCCAAAACCAGCACTCAACTTCAATCTGAGTTTCTTGAAAAACGGGCCTTTTTAGGGCATGCAAGGTATGTGGGTCAATCAATCTTTGCAAGTCATGGTTCTTAATCCTGCAGTTTCCATCATTCTTATTTGCCAATATTCTGAAGACTTCCCTAAACCTTATTTTGCAAAAGACCAATAGTCTCATATAGAAAGTAATCACACTGTCATTAGAACTGCTATTAAGATCCACTTTTCAAAAACACATTGCATACTGCAGTAAAGTATAAACGTATTAAACTCAAACACTTGACCATTTGCTCTAAGGTTTATAAAGCAGCAAAGCAATGCTGGATCTTTCATTGCGAACTGGAGATGCTCAATTTTATAACATAAGTTTTCTGATCAGCTGGAAAGAGTTTAAGTAAGCTTTTTCTGAACTTTGAAGAAGCTACCTGTCCACAAGCTGTAATCAACACCCCAGTCTACCTTTGCCATTAAGTACTGCCATCAAAGGAAACACAACGTATTTCTGATTACAGATACCCAGCTGATGGTGCTCAGGAACACCGCAGCTTTAACTAAAAACATGTATGAACATATACTGTCCATGAAAGACATGTTTTAATTTTACACACTTTACTTCAAGGAGATTCAACAGAAATATTTTTGGCCAACCATAGTAGAGACACTGAGTATCTCGTGTAAGTGTACTAGAACTTTAAGGAATTCTAACTGCTCAGTTTTAGTCCTCCTGAACACTTACTCTCACATCACTTGCTAAAAATTTTCCATTAATTATTTTAGTACAATTATTAATATTCTCTATGTATGACTACATCAATGGGCTACAGAAAGTTTTAAAGGATTCCAGAGAATTTGAATAAATGGTTGGAAAACCAGACAGATAAGATATTTGTGTGCAAATATTACTCATCATCTGCTTTAGCCAATGAATGGTACATGATGTGCTAGGTTATATATTAAATATGTACAGCTTGATACTGGAATCTCCTGGTAGCTTTGTACTACTGCCAAAATGCAATTAAGTGTAAATAAGGATCTCAGCAACAGAAGAAACACGTACATCCTTACTAAATGTGGGAATTGGACATGTAAAAAAATAATTTTAAAATACTAGTAATAATAAATATCTTGCATTAAGCAAGGCAGTATAAAAAAAAGTTATGAGTTTGAGTTCAACCTCAAAATGAGAAAATTGCATCTTCCATATGAGTGTATGGATGGAAGCTAAAGGAATTAATTGCAGCTTGCTGCCAACAGGAGACAATAGTTTTCTGGATCCCTGTAACAACTTCCTTTGTAACCATAAGCAGTACTCTGGATTTTCTATAATGGCAACTGTACTTTCCTCTTGATTTGGGTCAAGGCTGCTTTTCAGTAAGAAAATATATTTATTCCGGTAAGTCATGATAATTGATATACCAATAGGGTGGTGACCAACTGTTTGGCAGTAAATGGAAAACATTTAAGTTAAGTTTTACAGTAATTTTAAAAAAAAAATCAAGTGTTATAATTATGCTTAACACATTAATACACTGTTTACCAGTCCTGTATGAACACTTGATTCTGAAACATTACACTTTATACTACCGGTGTCTCTGCCATCCTTCTGCTTCATTAAAACTCAAGTCAATGCAAAAACGCAACCTATTTTTTAATGGCCATGTAATACCCAGATATTTTTACTGCACTTTAGAATTGAGCCAGGTCTTGCCTAAAGTACTCATTCACGATTTACAGTGCAATGCAAATCCACTTTTGACTTCATTATATTTCACTTAAACAAATGAAGTTTATATTTGACACAATCATAGAAACTCCCCAGAAGGCTTGCAACCCTGGCACCTACTGCATCTCAAAGGCTGAATTTTATCATTTGAGGAATAATTGCATTAAAATTGTGTTAATTACAAATTGGCATTAGTATGACATATGACCAATAAGAAAGCCAGCAGATAAGAAATTAGTGAGAAAAACACACTAACAGTCTTACCTTTAAGTCAAGATGGACCACATTGTTTCTGTGCAAGAATGAAACTCCTTCTAAGATCTGCTTCATAAGTCGTTTAACATCTTTTTCTTTGAAGGCTTCCTCTCTTTCAGCCACACACTGGTCAAAGATTTCACCTCCAGCAGCACTATGGAACAATATGAATTTTATTATTTCAAAGACTAAGTTACAGCACCCATTTTTTTCTACTCACACTGTTTTATTTAGCATAAGAACAAGGAGCAGGCAGTAGCATGCAACAGTGATATTTTCAGTTATTAAACATCTGGCAAGCTTTTACAGCCTAGGAAGACTTCTCTGCAGATGGCAGCTTTGGGGAGAAGCAGAGATCTTAGTCATTTAGGTCAGAGAATATGAATACTACAGAAACTTTTGGGGCTATTTTGGAAACACTATTGACTGTGCTTCGAGATGAACACCACATCTGTTTGAAGGCAGTGTTTACATAAAAGATGTGCCTTTTGCCATTCCTATGAAACTACATGGAACTTTGGCCAAGGTAAGCCTTTGTAAACACAAAGCAAAACAGCCCCACTCCCAATCCTCCTCAAAACACTTTGCACATACTCAAAAGACTAAAGTTTATAACTGAATTGTTTGTGAAGTCTCTGGTCTACAGGGATGCATTAAGTTTCTAAATGGCTTTCATCTAAAAATAATTTTGAAAATTTTAGCTCTCTGCTTGCTTCCTTATCTTTTGTTTGTATATGTTTAAATAACAAAGTAACAAAAATAACTACAGATGAATGAATGTTTTTAAAGTACTCGGAAGCCACAATGCAGTACCATCTCTTTACAGCAGTGACTCTAAAGAACTAAAATTGTTTTACAATATAATCACATAGTACCAAAAGTAAAATAAGCAGAGTAGAGGCTCCATCTTAAAACAAGAATGGGCATAAGAACATTAGAATGGAGCCATTTTGCATGTGGATTGTTGAATTACTACTTCGCAATGTATAAATTAAATCAACACATACACACTTTGTTCTGCATGAAATTCTATAATCATCCCTTAGTGAAAGATGGTGAAAGCCCTGAGGACAGTATCTTCTTGAGGTACCCCAAACTGTGACATGCAAACCTGACTTTGCACAAGCGTTAATCTTCATTGATGCATAGCCATCTATTCTGCCTTTGCTTGCTCTTTAATAAATTATATTACCTAAGCAATCCAGAAGAGAGAGGTGCACATTCAACAAGGATGTAACAGCAAATGAAACTTCTACAAAATTGGTGCATTTGGATTATGTGCCCCCAGAAAAAGAACACAAATATACTCAATTTTTTACTTTGTCAATACTAACTTTGCTGCTACAGTCCTAGTACGTAAAAATGCCTCATGGTTTATAAAAACATTTTGCCTTCCCACACGTTCTCATGACTGTTATTTAAAATTCTGCCTGTGGATTGTCTTGCAAGCAAAAAGCATTTAAAAGAGGGTTAGACCTTAACTTTTTCTGAAGAGTTTTATATTTCTGTTCTATATGCTGGCATATTGGTACAGAAGTACAATTTGATTTATTAAACTAGGATTTTATTTTAAACAAGAAAAGTCCATTAAATATTTTTCTTCATCTTGTATCAAAGATGACAGAACTCAATAAAATTAGTTTTCAAATGAGTATTAATACCTTAATTCCTCTAGAAAAATTGCATATGCCCGGCAATTTAGCACATCTTTCTTGATCACATTTTTATTTAATTGAAGGAAAAAGTTAGTAATATTTCAGCTTTCAACATGATTCAGGTATTAATGACATTCTTAAAATTGACACTGGATAGTATATTGCAATACTCTAAAAGAAATTCTTTTAAAAGCAACATCAATTGGATGTTCAAGCTAAGGATAGAAAGACTTCTACTGTAATCAATAACCTAAACTTTCTACTTTGAGAATGCCTTAATATGTTACTTAGAAGAATGATTTTATTCCTCGTAGAAGTAGATTATAATGCACATACAGTTAAAAGATCTACTACCAAAATTACTAACAACACGACATGTTTTATAGCAACAACCATAGGATTTTGCTGGTATAGCTCTGACACTTGAAATAAGCAAACAGTACTTCTGCAATTTAATTTTATGTGAAATAGGATTTATACCTTAAAACTGGTGTTGTCAACCAGGGATCACACTTCATTTTTAATAGACTCAAGTGAAAATCAGCAACAGGGGCGGGCCTTAAAGCCTCGTTTGCTATATGTCTGTTTGGTAGACATCTGTTACAAATAAGTCACACTAATAAGGAAATTAACATTGAAGTAGGCACCAAGCTAAAATATAAGCTATGTAGAATTTTAATACTACACTTAAAAGTTTCACATGGCAAGGTGGTCTCCCATGCAATGTTTCATTTTTTGATCAACTTCACTATTTAGATAGAACAACTTTTTCCAGACAATTCATTCTATCAGAAAATTACCACATTCAAACAAGTAACTAGTGATCCTTTACAAGAACACAGGGAAATTTCTTACTGCAACTGTTTTGTGTATTGTTGCTGTGGAGTGAGCTTAATTGATTCCCTCAAGCACAACAGTCAGCTAGCTGTGAGCCAACCCAGTCACAAGTGGTTGGAAGTACAATGTCAAAACAAACTCCAAAAAGATTCTCCAGCACGTCTATGACAAATTTTGCCAACCTCCTTAAAAATACTGTCAACTCAGTTATTTTGTATTCCCTATGTAGAGTTCAGGGGAAAAAAGAAAATTAATCAAAACACAGAAGGGATTAAAATACCTGCCAGGAAAATGTTATGGGCATGTCATTGCTATGATTTCTGTATACATGCAGACCAGGAGTTTTTTGGTATTTATAACATTTACCCATTTTCCCCTCTAAGAACACATTTTCCATTAAGCTGTAGCTTTTCTAACGGTCATTATGAAATAACCACTTTGCAAACCACTGCGCACTCCCACCCACCTCCATAGAAAATGTTTCTAGGGGATAAAAGCAAAGAATTGTCCTCAGGACAAGAAAGTCTTTAGGAAAACAAGCCATCTTAATCTGAAAAAAATGGATAAGGAAATATTTAAGAGCACTATGTTTTGAAATCCACTGTTACTTAAAATGCATTATTTCTCTAGTATGGGCTCCCTTAGCTAGGTGTACGAAAAAATGAGATACATAAGAATTCTTTCCAAACTTAAAAGCTACGGCAACTAGAATTCTTTAGCTATTTTAATTTGTTTATGAAAGTACTGTTGTGCTAATAACTTCTCTGTAGTTTCAAGTGAAATCCAACTGCTCTTCATCAACGAAAAGCATGCTAACATTTTATTACAGCTTATCAGCACAAATGAGCTAAAAGTCATTTGAAAGTCCAGAACATTAATCTTGGTTACAGTTATGTTGACTTTAAATTCAATGGAGACTGCTTATCTTCATTCAAACATACCCTAACAATGCACTGTCTGGAATTCAGCATCGTACTTCTTTCAAGTGCATTTACAATACACTAACACAGTCCTTCAGCATATCATTAGAAACAGATTGAACAAATCTATTTCAGTGCATCTGAAAAAAATTAAACATTTCCCCCAGCTTTAATGGATCAGACATTAAGATAGTCTTCTGAAAGACTCAGGACAAATCTTCAGAGTACAGATACATAGATAATAAGTTTCTAGAATACATTTGATTTCAAATGCTGAGTGAGACTATATACAGCCTGCAAAGCTCTAAAATTTACTTCCTGAATCTTGTGCTCTGTCAAAAGCCTTTCTTGAAAGGGTTATCTTTGGAAGATAAATAGAAACTCATCTGCTTTCTGTACCCAGAGCTTATATTACAAGAAGATCACAAGGTGGTTGTAACACTATCAGAAATTTTGAGGTTACACATCAGGTTTCTGTAATATCCGACCCACTAATATCATCTGTCCCTTCCATAGATGTATAAACATATGGTGATGAACACTTATAAAAAACGCCAGTTCTTAAGCATCAGATGCTCTTGTTGCTCTTTCTTTCAAAAGGAATTGGAAAAAGCCAGGTAGGTTACATACAAATATTGAGCCTAAAATCTATCAAATTTTCTTTTTTCCTTTTATATCTGATGTGTTAGGTTTCCCAGACTGTATCTCTACCTTTTTCAGTAAAAATCCAGTTTTCTTTCATTCCATTTTCACTGAAATATAGAAACATGACTGACCCATAGATTAATTCCAGGCTTTACATACTACCCCTTCAGACTTACCCCTTCAACTCCTACTTAAATACTCTCTTTGAGGTCTTGTGCCAGCAAACAGAAATCAGAGACTGTTGTCAGAGTGGATGCAGATAGCCATCAATTTGCTATCCTACAGCTGAAGCCAACACTGTTGCTTCCCATTGCTCAGCACTTAATATAGTGACCAATTTTGTTTTCTGTCAAAAACTGATACTGCTTGAAAGACAGCTCTCCATGTAACATTAATATTTCTCTTCATGAAGGCAAAGCACTAGATGTCCCCCTCACCCCTTATGACAGATTCAACATCAAGACAAGAAACTTTAAAACCTTAGCAGATAAAAGTTCATGGCCAACAATTAAGTATTTGTTTTTCTCCGCTGCAAGATAGATAAAGATCTGCCACACAGACCATCAAGCCTAACAGACACTGAAATGCCCTAGAGAAGCTTGCAGTCTAGATACATTCTTTAATCCTCTGCATACAGAATGTCAGAAATTTACTAACATTCATACCTGTTCTGTTGCAACATGTCTCTGGAACATGCTGACATTAAAGAAGCATTCAGACATATTTGCTGAAGTCAGGGAAAGACTGTTTTTGTAATTTACAATTCTAACACACTGCTATTTATCTGAAAGAAGGTATGACTGTTTGATGCCTATAAAAACAATAATGTTGCTAATTACTGAACATCCTGGTGACTACTGAACAACCTAGTTAATACTTGGGATTAAAAATGTTTTGTGATTTTAAGAGAATTGAGTTCTAAAGGAAAACTAGCAATTTTGCATTAAAATTACCACAAAACCCATTGCTCATATCAAGCTTTGGAGTCTACCGCTCATGTTACATCCCTGCAGGATCCAGAAATTTAAACAGTATTCTAGTTAGTTCTGTGCTGCTAGTGTTTAAAGCATGTATTTATGAGTCTCCAAGAACAGCAGTTAACTCCAGAAGATCTGTCACATCTTTGCATTATAACAGATACTTGAATATTTCATAAATCGTGAATTCCATAAGGGCACAATGAAGTTGAAAAAATATATTCTAGACAGTGAACTGAACTTTAAAAATACAATTTCTTTTGACTTCTAAACAAGATCAGATTGGGACACAAGATTTCTCACCATTTCTTTGCGTTATCAAGCAAGAAGAGCTGTACAAACTACATTTATCTTAGCAGACAGGTTAAGTCACTTCTGAACTATCGAGCCTCACTGTTCCTCTCCTAATTATTTAAAATCCATAGAGCTTGAACAGGTTCTTAACAGCTTTCAATAGCAACAAGCATTTGGCTGCCTCTTGGAACCTATGTGTCAAATTCAGGACATGGTTTAGGGGACATGGTGGTGCTGGACTAATGGTTGGACTTGATGATCCTGAAGGTCCTTTCCAACCTAGTGATTCTGTGATTCTGTGAAATATCTAAGCCACCAGCATATTAGATGAACAGTCACAACAGCTGCAGAAACCCCATCTGGACAAACTCAAGGGAGGAAAAATACACAGATAAATGTAAAGTCACGAGTTAAAAGTCATTTGAAAGAAACTATTCTAGGTCTGAATCCTCCTACTCTTTTTCTTCCCCCAGAAGATAATGGTTTAGGGAACTTTTCATTGTAGATCATAGGGGTTTTTGGAATTTTTTTTTTTTTTAAAAAAACAATGATGTTGTTTTCAATACCTTTTTCATAATGGTAAAAAAACCCCTCCAAAATCAGATTTCACTTCATCTTTGTCACTGTCAATAAAATACACTTCAGTTTTTGAACAGATACTCATTGGTTCTTTCCTCTTCCTCTTTTACAAGTAGGGAATGTACACAATTCATATTTCACTAAAGATTTTTTTAATTACAACTATAGTTCAAGCTTTGAAAGATACTACATAATTGGAAAAATTTATTATAATCTGCAGTAGTTACAAGACTGCACATAACTTCTCGTATTACTGATTTTCGTAGCAATTCTTTTTGAACTCAAACAATTTTGAGCTCAAGCTCGTGTAACCGGCCAGCAATAAAATCTTTTCACATTATTCATATTGACACACAGTCTTTTTACATTATTAGTTTCAAGCAAATACTTCAGAAGGTTATTCAGGAATTATTACTAGTACTTACTATTCCAGAACTAAAATAATCTCTGTTGCAGTTTCATAAACTTCATACAAGTTAATGACCCAAAGGTTGCATTGTGCCAGCTCAAGGACTGCAATTTCATGGATTATTTCCATCCGACAGTCTTGGCCCTTTCTTCTTTTTCTCATGAATTTCGCTGCAAACTCTCTTTCAGTGTCTTTCTGGATACACTTCTTCACCACTGCAAATTTTCCTCTGAAATGAAAGAAGAATTTTAAGTTAAAATTAAGTCCCTTAGTGACAACACTGGTGTGGCCCTTATAAATTAACATTACAGGAAACTTGAACTAAATCACTGTTAATGAATACATTTAAAATATGTTCTAAATTTAGAAAGATGCCTTGCGGAGTGATAATCCCTACACTGAAGTTAGGAACATCACAAGGCAGAATGTAATTTAACCTCCATTAAAAGTAAAGACTTAAACCTATCACTTCAAGGAGCATGGATTTCAAAAATACAGAATAAACAAGCTGTGCTAGTTTGCAAGATTAAGGTATCCTCAAACCTTTCATTAAAAAAGCTGGCAGAAACCAAAGTGTACAAGCAGGCAATTTATGCTTTCTGTGACTACATCACAATAGCTAAAGTAATTGCCCAGCTATTGTTTTATAAAGTATCCCACCATATTCAAGGCTACAGCAACCAGCACTCTTACTGAACAACTGCTCAAAATGCTGCTCCATTTGCCATGCAACACCCAGACTCTGCTCTGCATTGGTATCTTCACCATAATATGTCTCAAATGATAACAGCCAGAGGTTTTTTTGGTTGTTTAACAGTTCTCAAAATCCCTTATTCTTAGGCTCACTGTAGAAGTAAGGAACATCACCACCATTAATGGGTTTAAACTAAAATTCAACTAGATAAGGAGGCAATTTTTCACAATGAGGGTGGTGAAACAGTGGCACAGGTTGCCCAGAGAGGTAGCAGATGTCCCATCCCTGGACACATTCAGGGTCAGGCTAGACGGGGCTCTGAGCAACTTGTTCTAGTTGAAGATGTCCCTGCTTACTGCAGGGGGCTTGGACTAGGTGACCTTAAAAGCTCCCTTCCAACTAAAACCATTCTATGATTTTAAAAAAATTAAGCAGCTTGACCAACATAAAGCTTTCTAACAAAATTTGTGACAACGATAATGTGAATACAAACCACACTGAGCAGAACTGAGCATAGCACTTAACCCATGTTAATGAGCGTCCCTTCTGACAAAACACACAACCGATGAGTTACACCAAGCCAGCAGGCTAGCTCAAACCACACTGCAGCACTTACGTCAGAAGACTTCCCCCCAGCATTTTGGACTGAATTGTCTGCTCTAAACTTCTTTGCAATAGAGTCCCACACCACCTGCTCCACTCTGTTCCATTCATGCAGTATGGATTTTTAGACTGAAAAGGTCTAATTAATTAATATCTGTCATCTAATGCAATGATGAGTTCTTTGAAGTATAGCAATCTTTTTTTAGTTCTTGCCAGACAGGTATAATATAAATAAAAAAGATAGTTTTGATTAACATGTAGAATTTTTCTTATAAAGCTGCAGGAACAGCTTGGAGATCGGTATTTTGGTTCTTTACTTAATTTATTGTAGGATTGATGAAACCAAAGTAAGAGTCCTTGTCTGGTCTGGAATACAATTACATGGGTCTTGCCTCTCCTGCCTCCAAGTTGAAGTTCACAGAATTAATAATTCAGCTCATGTCAAAGTTTTCACTCCTCACAGCTCCTAACCTATTGGCAGACTCATGTTTCCATGGAACATAACTGCTAAAAGAAGTTGTGGTCAGCTTGCTTTTAATAGGCATTTGTTTCAAAATTACCCTGTCTAAATGAATTAAGTCAAATAAGCACCCACAAAGTGGGTATTTGCTAGGCAATCTCACCAAAATAATCTGACTTCTAACCACTGATACAGCCACAGTTATTCCTCTAGGAATAATGTTTTGCATAAGCACACATTATCTACAGCACAACAGGTATTAAGGCTTGATCAGAGCACAGCCCAGATGGCTGTGAAGGTAGACAAACAATAAGAACATGCCTTCAATGCCTAGAATCCATTTTTTTGGGAGAAAGGTCTTCATTATTAATACATTGGTTAAGACAAGTTTTGCTTTGCAAATGCATGAAAAGAGTAGCACAGGATTTTGTAGCACTAGGAAGGTGTGGTCAAAAGAGTTACCACAGAGTATCACAGGAGCAATAGACACCTAAAGCCTCGAATAAAGCCTAAACAACCTGCTAGGTGCCTGGTACACATGTTGGAAGAACTAACAAATATATAGTAGAAACAGCTCACCAGGAAACATAGGAATATGCTAACGATGCTCCTGATCCAAAAAATATTGCAAGGACAGTGTTTCTTTTAGGCAGATTTCTAGGAAGTTTGTCACATTAGGCTTGCAGCTACAAGTATAAACATCCCTCCAGTATTGCAATCCTAACCACAACTGAAAGCAACCTTCCTTATCTAGCCAGTGAAAAGGATTTTAAATTATTCCAAATGAAGACATGCATCTGTATGGTTTGTGTACAATATAAAGCTATACTTTTATTGAAAGTGTCAAAATTCTCGCTCAAGTTTTTAGCACTGAAACCAAAAACAGCACAGAGAAAAACCTAGTGACTGTGCTGATAAGAAAACACCCAAAAGAAAAATAAATTGAGAGACTAACAAATAAGCCCTTTAACAGCAAGTTATTTTAACACCTGGTGGATACTCAGCCTTTATACCAAAAACCTAGACCCCTGGGTTCAGCGTGCTGTATTTTTCTTAAATAGCCTGTGAATGCAGTTTCCTTCCGGTTGAATGTCACCTTAGTGCAAAGTCAAAAGCTTTTAATTCTAGCACCGGTGAAGGATGTAGAGAAAGTAGTTTAGAAAAGTTTGAACTCTCTATAATACAGCTTTCAAGAAGCACAGTGGTGTTTTGCATTACATACAAAATCTATCTAGAAGCAAGTTAATTAGCCTAATTAGTACCAATGTTGCCGATTCATCACACATTAGTCACTATGGAAATAAAACAGCATTCACAGGGCAGCGAGAAACAGCAAGAGCCACCACTGTGTGTGGCCACGCATGTCCTCTTTAGCTGAGCTGGCCAGAAGCCTGATAGGTGACGTAATGAAAAGGACAGGTTACACGGGAGTTCAGCTGGCTGACAAATACTAATCCTTAGTTGTTTAAGGCCAAGAATCCTGCCCAGGTTCTTTATGGCTATACCTATCATTAGAACTCATCTTTTCTGAAAGCAATCCCCAAAAAGATCAAACTTGACAAACCTGATGCTTACAGCTAATAGAACTAATTACTGTGCAGCAATCTAGATTCATGCATGAGACAATTTCAGAGCTAAGATCCAAAAATACCATCCATTGTATGGTTAATCCAAAAGATAAATTTGTAAAGAATTTCTTTTTGATAGAGACAGAATAGTAGGTAAAACTGATATAAACAAGCTTTCCGATAAAGTACACATTGTATATGCTTCATCTTCGCTTTTCTTAACATTCTGCTTTTCAGAACTCCTTATTAAAAAATTATTAAATAGTGAAAATATTATTAAAGCAGAGCATTGCTAGTTTAGCTGTATTGAGAAGAGCTAGCAGCAAGAACACTGCATTGAAGGAAGAACAATTTTGAGAGAAAATACTTGATGTGCATCTCCAAAGTTAAAAACTGACTACCAGTCATCCAAACACAAACAAAAATGCTTTGAAGGGAGATGTGAATAGCAAACTAGAAGTAGTTCTTAGTCCTTACAAGAGTCTCATCCAAGAATTACGATTTAAGATAAATCATATCTGATTACAAAGAAGCTCAATGTCACCTTTTCAGATCGCCAACAGAATTAGCATTGTTTTATCTGGCATACATTATGGCTTAAAGCTAAAGCCTCAACTCACAAATCAAATGTCAAATGAGATAAAAGCAGGAACATTTATGTCACACTAGTTAATTTTGGTTGTCATAGGCTCAGAAGAACAGAGAACTAACCTTACTTTAATAATTATTTTTGAAGTGACTTATAAAACTCTGTCACTGTAACAAATGCAAGAATGACAGCAATTCCTGCAAAGATATTTACTTTTTATAAAGTTCAGAAAACTTTTCTGAGACCCACAAAATTGGATGCAATTTATTCCGTAACTCATATCAACCATTTCTTTCTAAAGTATGTGTCTTTTCCCTA